AAATGGCCCCGAAATTGTATGTCTCTCATGAAACAATACGTAAATATCTAAATAATATGGGAAAACTCTATAAAGAAGGTGTTTGGGTGCATCACGAACTCTCCGATGAACACCGTTTCCAACATGTGAATATTGCTTTGTCTCTTCTGGCGCGTAATGCACGTGAATCATTTTTTGGACTTGTCAATGGTGATGAAAAATGGATTCTCTATGCGAATACTAAAGGCCAAAAACAATGGGTCAGTCTTAGACAAAAACCACTTCCGACCCCAAAACCTGGACTCTATCTGCAGAAAATGATGCTTTGCATTAGGTGGGACATCAAAGTTGTTCGGGTTTTTGCATCTAAAAAAAAAAAAAGACATTAATTTCTTGACGACCTAATATTATAGTCATAGTTAACATTTTACTCGGATATTTGAAGTTGTAGTGGACTTTGGACTTTAATAACGTGAGACAATGTCTATTGTAGTTTACCCGTTCCAATAAGGATGTAGTGTACATTCAGGATGTGCAGATGTCGACTGGAGGAAGGTACAGGTGCGAGGTGTCTGCTGATGCTCCATCATTTAGGACCGTGTCCACAGAAAAAGTAATGACAGTTAATGGTAAGAAGTAAAACATTCCTACTAATTAGTGTTATCAGTATTAAGTGTTGTTGTTGTTGGTGTTGTTGTCCACAGAAAAGGTAATGACGGTTAATGGTAAGAAGTAAAACATTCCTACTAATTAGTGTTATCAGCATCAAACATATTTATATATATTAATTTCTGGTAGACTTATTTTATTGCTTACTTCCATATTTCATTCACTAATTTATTATAAACAAAACATTTAAAACTATCTATCAAATTATATCTGCTATAAAGTTGTTTTTTCAAACAGTACAAAATATTATTTACTGGGCGCTGAGAGGTTAATTGCATTAACTAATCCTTGCTTAAATAAAACGAAAGCTTAAGATAACGTATCATATTGTTTAATCTCCGTCGCTTGATATAGCTACATATGAACTTGTAGTAGTATTATAAGCAGACGACTTTGTACAGTCGGGCAACATTTGAAGCCAATATGTCTTTTGATTACGCACGTTCTAATGTTGGTAATTTTATCATACACTTGTCCACTGGTATACAGGACTTAGCACACCATCTAAGCCTATTAACTTTTTTGTTGCTTTGTGTATTTTGGATAAGTTACAATTTAAGAACTGTAAAGTTTTTCTGTCCCTCGGAACCCGTTCTGTTTATTTTATCTCTCGACCTGTTTTGAATATTTAATCTTCACTGCAACGTTAACGTTGGAAATAACGAGTAATGCTTTTAAAATAGTCTTATTTGTTTGAATTTCACTCCAAGCTACTCGAGAGCTATTTGCGTTAGCCGTCCCTAACTTACTTGTAATTAACTAGACGGATATATAGCTATTCAACGCTACCTACCGACAACTCTTGGGTTACTCCTTACCGACGAAAAGTCATATTGATCGTCACATTACAACGCCCCCTCGACTGAAAGGTTAAAAATGTTTGAAAGGATTCCATCCCGCGATCCTCAGATTACGAGTCGATAAATATAGTTACACAGCACAATTGTATCACTGGTCATGCCTATTTCTACGCTGAGATAGTATCGTTCACCGTGTATCCATTGGAAACATGAACACTTAGTTTTGATTGTGATAAAATCTGAGGACAAGTGAAACACGTTAAGATCATCCCAATACTTCGTTGTTGCTACAGATAGTTATTTTATTCAATAGTTATGAGAAAAAACAAAACAAATTCACCGAGTAATAGTGAATATCCTATTAGAAGTTTCGATATTTAGATCCAAAAATTACGTATTTCTGTTCATTAAATAAAGTTTTTATCTTGGTGTCTAACAAGATACTAAAATGTTTATCTCTCCTCTCACAAGAGTTGAAAAGAAATATTTACAAATTCACTGCTTATTGTAATTTCTTGTTTCTGTTTTACTGCAGAGATTTCATTATTTGTACTCGGTTGCTAAGAATATACTTTTTATTAACTATTACGATAATAAACCCAAGTCTATCTGTGCCTAAGTTATTATCAATCAAGGCTGGAAATGATGTGTTAAAGAAAATATTAAATACTGAATTACAGATAGATGAATACTTTAATCTGAAATATTACCTTCCACAGGAAAGTTTAAACTTGCAACTAACATTTCTAGGTTTAGTTTGGTAAATTTAACACTAGACAGACGATAAGAAGGAAACAAACGGTTGTTTGAATGTGTAATACAACTAGAAACTGTGAAATAATGTAGTAATAGATATTCTAACGAGTGTATATAATTTTGTTTCATAATTATAATTTCTATTGCAGTTGAAACTGGAAGAGCCGTGCGAGGACAGTGTAACTTTAAAGCAATGACGGTCTTAGTCCTCATTACTACGGTGTTTGGAAGAAGAGTTGAACATTCAGTACATTGTTAATAAAAGAAAGGGGGCCGTTTTACACTCCTAACTAATTAAAAACACGTCAGCATAGAACTAATAATGTAATGATGCCTTCCTTTAAAAGTATGTCGTGTTAAAAAAATGTAGTTACTACAACAAAACATGCGCGCTTGAATAACTTATTTCTTCCATTTTTCATTGTGTTTATAATGTCACGTGGTGTTACAATATCCTAAAACTAAAGTTTGTAAATTGAACAAAAACAACATTCATTCTAAGCCTGATACACATTCTTCACCACACTAAAACAAATGGAAAGAAAACCAAGAACTTTTATACTATATGGATTAATTAAAGTAAATAAAAACTGAAATTAAGAAGCTATTGAAATTACAAGCTACCAGTTCTATACCAGCAATAAAAAAAAAAAAATAATTACTTCAGAAACGTTATAAATCTTACTAAACATCTTTGTCTATAATATGTTCGCGCGCTTTCTTTTTACAGATATTTCTTGCTTAACCTAATCAGTAGTCCATTTTTCACCATACTTTTTCTCTGTTGAGCTGTACCGAAAAAAAAGAAAGTTTTAACAGTCTCCCTAAAACCGACTTTATTCTCAGGACATCACAGGTATCAAACACAAATTTCTTTTATGATTTATTTATATCTAAGCCTATTTAATCGTTACTTGTCTTTAATAAATACAACCTTTAACGATATTCAAACGGGACGTTCGTAATAATAGGTTCTGAAAATCTCATTATTGTACGTCATAGTTAAAGCATTATATTCCAAACCAGTTAAGGTATTTTACAGTTAGCAAGAAGAAGCTGAAGAATACAGAGTATTGAGTTTATGTTTTAATAAAATTGGTTGCTTTGAGATCGTAATCACTGACTCCATCGTTTCCAGTGTCTTATATTTTACGTCGTACGAAATAACGTTCGTTTAAAAACATTTCCAGACAAATTACTCGGCCAACTTTGTAGCAATAATTTGATTTACCCCCTTGATATGGATTACACTTACTCTTGTTAACAAATGAACACCACACCCATGTTTTGTCATTCCACATGTGACACTGAACACCACTTTGAGAAAATTAAACGAAAACAGTGAAGCCAAATAATGTTTCTTATTTTTTACGTGATTAATGGATTATATTTTGAACCTCAGTTGGAAAGTGATGTCTCAATTTATCCGAGGCACGTCTTTTCAAGAACTGGTCTTTCTCAGTTGATACATTTCAAAAAGTTAATTTTATATTAAAGTTAAATAGACTTAGCAAGTTTTGCAGCCTCGTAACAGAGAGTGTTGATGTATTTTAGTACATTCATTGGTGGATGTGTACGACGCGTGTTGATGTATTGTAGTACATTCATTGGTGGATGTGTACGACGCGTGTTGA